CCCAACTTTTCGCTGCTACTGGAATTTGCCACCAGATCGCGATCCGGTGATGCTGGATCGCGATCTGGCCTCTGCATCAACTTCAAACACTGTTTTGACCCATTTTCAGCCCGAATTCGACAATTGTGCATTTCACAAAAGTTGTAGCCCTTGAAGTTAGCTTTCTAAATCTACTTGAATCAGCCCAATCGGAGGTCGTATGCAAAAGTTATGCTTGAAATACCAAACACTGCCACAATCCGCGAGAATGCACTTTTGCACGTGTTTGGTTTGATTCTCGGCTTCGCTTCCAAAATCGTCTCGAATCGGCAAAAATAGCTTATCTTTACCTAAAAATATAAATAAAACAAAAACAACATAATATATACAAATAAAGCCGAAAACTCGGACGAATGAAGACCAAAACACGAAGATTAGATAAGTAAAAGTTGTGCAAAACGAACACTTATCAGGAACAAGCGTCAGTTTGGTGATGACTACTTTGGTTTTGCAGATGTGGCATTAATTCCTTTTGGGGTTTACTATCCATAGTACGTTTTTTTTCTAGTTGCAGTACGAAATAATTCATTTGTTGAGAAATCCTTTAACATTTTCCAAATTCTCTCAGCCTGCAAATTTTAAAACTTTCCAAATCGTCGGTATTTTCCGATAGTATCAATTAGAGCACAATAATTATCAATATGGACGAAATCGACTTCGATTTTGAGGTAAAAAAAAACGTATTTTTTTATCGAATTTTCACCTTTTTATGCATTTCGTGTTGTCTTATCGAAATGGAACACTCCATTTCGTGCAATACAGAAAATGAAATGTTTTTTTTTCCTTCAAAATGCTGTTTTATTTCGTGTTACATGAAATGCAAGGTAACGTTTCACGTAAATTCACACGAAATGCAAGGTAGCATTTCACGTAATTTCACAAGAAATCCCTTAATTATTTAATACGATTTCTTTTTCCGTAGAAAGAAGAACAAGAATCTCACGATTATAGTACTTTATTTCAACGTGATATCGTATTTTCGTTATTTTAAATGTTTAACTTGAAATGTCGTATTTTGTATTGTAATGTAATTTTATTGCGTGTTATAATTTCAATAACAATCGTAATAAATTTTATTTTCGCTCTTTTTAATGTTTAACTTGAAATCTTGTACTTCATATTGTAGTGTTAATTTATTTCGTGTTCTAGTTTCAATGACTATCGTGATAAATTGTATTTTCATTCTTTTTAATATTTAACTTGAAATGTTGTATTTTATAAGTGACTACAAACACTAGCTAAATAGTAAATACGATAATTCCTTGTAGGACCATAATACATTCACATTTTGTCATGACTAGTTTTATTATGATTTTTTTCTTCTTTCAATCTTTTATTTGATTTACTTGGATATACATGTCGTTTGTCATCAATTAATCTCCTACATGAGTTATTACTAGATCTTGAATTTTTATTTTCATAACTATTCTGTATCATATAATAATCATAGATACATGAATATTACAAATTAAATGACGATACAAACTCTTTTAATACTTAACTTGTTTGCTTTTATTGTGTTAAAAGAATTGGTCTATTTATATTACATTTTAATTTTAGCATGTTAATCATATAACTTTTGTAGTTTGGTTGTAGATTTTTCTACGCAATATATATTTTTTGTGATAAATACTATGCAATCAATGTCTTATAAATATGGGTATATCGTTAATATATTAAAATCTGGCCCGTAGTTTACGAAATATAGCATTATTGTAATTCGTACTTGTAATTGAATTTCAGTTTACTTAAGTTTGTTGTTATTCTTTTGTATTTATTTGAGTGTAAAAAAATGAAGTAATTAATTTTTTTTAGTGATTTCACGTAAATTTAACTCAAGCTTGTGTTTCGTGTAAAAATACATGAAACACAAGCTTGAGTTTCGTGAAATTTTACGTGAAATACAAAAAAAAAATGTATGGTTACCGAAACACTATTTCGTGCTTCATTGCACGAACTTCTATCCATGTCGTGCTAGATAATACAAAATGCTCATGCACGAAACATGGATCAAAACGGGTTGGAGAAAGTGGTCTTTTTTTTTCTTTAAAAGTTGCAAATCTTATTAACAAAAGAAAGGTTCCTGGAGAAACCCTAGAAAACCCTAAGGTCAATTTTTCCCGCTCATTTGGAGGATATCTTATAATGGAATTAAATTTAATTTTCTATTCCAATTTTTTTTTTTTCATATTATTAAATTTCGTATAATCTAATAATTAAACACCTAATTAAATATTATTTTCTACTAATTCTTTAACTAATCTCCTTTGTAATTTATTTAATTGATTTTTTTTTATTTTTTTTATATATAATCAAGTTTAATAAATCCATTAAGTATTCAGATTTTTCAGCCCCAAATACACGTATTTTTATCCACTAAAATTGTCATTTACTTAATATTATTTTTATGGAAATATTATTTAATAATTTAGAAAATATTTGGTTCTTATTTTATATTACATTATTAATAAAAGTAAGGTTGCTCCTGGTAAGTCCTAGGAAATTCTTTTCGTTCATTCGATAGTTACAATTGCCATTTATTTAAGTAATTAAATTTATTGCTTTATTTCATTTATATAATCAAATTTAATGATTTCATTAAGTATCCTCATTTTCTTGGCCTCAGATCTACGTATCTTTTACTTAATATTAACTTTATGCGAAGATTATTTAATTATTTAGAAAAACATATGATTCTTATCTTATATTATATAACCTTGAGTATAATCAATCGTTATATATTTTAATACCTGTAAATTTTACAGGCTTGCATTGAGCGAAGAAGTCTATGTCCCATCAGTTAGTCAATTATCGTCCCAACTTTCTTTGCCTCGATCGTACGATCCACTCCAGGCAGATAGAATGACCATTGATGAGTGCGTTGAGAGTACAAAGGTACGTTGATTCGTCGAACATATATCTGATATATTCTTAATTAAACAAATATAATGCTTAAGAATCGATTGTTGTATATATATTGTAGGTATGTGTTGGATCCGTACTGGCGAAAATTCTGGAAATCGAGTCGGCAGCTAATTGGTGGTATGCTTCATGTAAAAATTGTGTGAGGAAGGTCGAACCTGTCTCAAAGAAATATTGGTGCGAAGAGTGTGACGGGTTTGTTCCTGCTGTACCAAGGTAATTATATTTTGATTTGGTAATATTTTACGAAAACCATCATTCCTCTTGGTATTCGAAATTTTTATATAAAATATATATTTTTGTACAGGTTCAGAGTTCAAGTGAGTGCCATTGATAGTACTGGATCGACTTCATTCGTAATGTTTGATCGTATTGTCATGCAATTAATTGGAAAAAGTGCTTCAAAACACCTAGGTGGTGCATCAACCAAGGTATTATTGATGTAATAAGTTATGTACATTTAAATCCACATTAGGCTAATAACCATTTTATTTTTTTGTAGGGAAACCATAATTACGGATGTCCTGCAGAGATTAATGCTTTGATTGATAAGGAAATTCTATTCCAAATAGAAATCAGTTCCCGAAATATTAAGTATTGGGGATGGCACCATAGGTGATCCCAATGACGGGGTGGTCAGCATTGAAATCCCTGATGACTTACTCATAAAAGAGTCAGCTGATCCACTTGCTTCAATTGTAAATGAGACATACCCATCATTTTTAGAGAATATGGATGATATCAGTTATTTGCAACACAGGGCCATACTGGCTCCGACAAATGAGATTGTTGACGTGGTAAACGATTACATGCTATCGTTGGTTCCTAAGGAAATGAAGACATATCTCAGTTTTTATAGTACATGTTCAGCTAACGGAAGCATTGAAAGACCTGATGATATTCATACGCCCGAGTTTTTGAATACCGTTAATTCTTCTGGTCTTCCAAATCACGAATTAAAACTAAAAGAAGGTGTTCCGGTCATGTTGTTGAGAAATATAGACCAATCTTCAGGTTTGTGCAATGGCACTCGACTGTCAATCACAAGATTAGGAAATCGAGTCTTGGAAGTGAAAATTATATCAGGAACCAACATTGGTCATAAGGTGTTTATTCCACGATTGACTCTAACGCCATCCGATAACAGGATTCCTTTTAAATTCCAGCGTCGACAATTTCCTATCACTCTTTCGTTTGCAATGACGGTAAATAAAAGTCAAGGCCAATCTCTTCAACACGTGGGTATATATCTTCAGAAACCAGTGTTTTCACATGGACAATTATATGTTGCTATCTCAAGAGTTACGAGTCGAAGAGGCTTGAAGATACTTATTTGTAACAACGACGGGAACACCTCAAATACTACTACAAACGTCGTTTATAAAGAAGTTTTCCAAAATCTGAACTAAGTAAGTTATTTATATATTTGGTTAAATTTATATATGGATTTTTTGTCTTCAAAGTTTTATAAATGAGCTTTGTAACATTTATTTTCAATTTATAAAAAAGTTATTTTTTCTTTCATTTTGTCCTACGGTGCAGGTGCAATATGCTCAAGAGTTGAAAACAACTACTCTGTTGGTGGCCGGATTAATTCTTTGGTGGATAGAATTTTATACTTTTATTAGATTTTCCAGTAAAATATTCAATATATAGTTTTTATTAGGTTTTTCAGTTAAATAGTCAATACATTTTTATTTCTGTTTGTTTTAATGATTGTTATGTTTGTTTGTTCAATCCCGTGCATCGCACGGGTCAAGTTACTAGTGAAATAAATTTGCACTGCAAGCCAGTAAAACCTACACTATGAATAGTATTTCAGTTCCTTTTTATGACCGGTAATTTTAGCAGAGGAGAGCACCCCTACAGTCGATAGTGTGTCATCATTGGATGATTCTCAGAAGACTTTTGAGCTCTTGTTGGCTATTGAGATGAAGTCCGGCATAGGAGAAAGGGCATATCGATGTTTGGGAAAACATCATTTTGCTTAAATAGATCTATCTATTCTCGAAAAAACATCGTTTCACTACGATATATTAGGTAAGAGTAGATCCAAAATATAAAAGAAACTAAATTCAAGTAGGAACAATCCTGTTTCCGAATGTCTAGAAAAAACATAAGAAATAATAAATGCCAAAACACATAAAAGTAGTTCAACTGCAAATATACAAAGATTGCATGTTGCAGCACTTGAAATGTAGCACAACTTCATATTCCACATGCATAAACGTACTTCAAACCATGAATCACCTGCACATGGAAAAAGGCATGTGTTAAAAGCTAGTAAACCAAAATATAATTTATTCAATCTGATAGAGAAAACTAGAATTGCATATTTTTAAAGTATCAAAAAAAATGTAACAAAAAAAACATCAAGGTAAACACCGTGTTTATAGCGGTGGGCAATATCAGTATACCCACCAGATTATTGAAGTTTTACAACAATGTATCCTAAAAAATATTGAGTAATTTAAATTGCAAACTGACAACTCGGACGAAGGTCCAACATAACGTATTGTGGACAACCTCAACTAGTTGATCAATAATTATCCATGAGACTAAAAGCAAAATATAAATTGGCCACCATAAATTGGTTCGAAAAGGCGGCTAGCAATCAAAATCACAATTGTTAGATGAATCTAATCATACTCCCCACCAAACAAGTATAGTTACAATTGTTAGATTTTGGCAGAATTGTTTACAAAAGTTACAGTTGCTATTTGTAGTATTTCATAATAGTCTGCATGCTATATGTTTGTACGTTTAAAACCTAAAATTGAATAGAAGCATGTTAAAAAAATGATTTAATACTAACTACGACTCTCCGATCTGAACCTAAAATTGAACAGAATGCATGTAATGGCAGGGGTGTTCACAACTAAATTATTTAGTCAATCATGGCTAATCTCCCCAACCAATCGAGACCTAAATTGAATAGTTATCTTCTAAAAGAGAGTTGACCAAATATACCAGAGCGGCCTTACTGACTTGACTTTGCTCCCCGGGCTCTGGTAATGGCAGGGGTGTTCACAACTAAACATCTTTTGATCCAACTTAAACACATTATGACAATCCGTCAATGGTTCGAATCATTAATTAAAGAAGATAAAGAGCATCAATAACTATTTATTTAACACATGGTCAAGGCTAAGTGGGACCAGCAAACGAAATTGGATCATTGCATGGTAGTCATATTTGTTTGCAACAAACTAATTCGTTGTTAAACTCGATTGATGCAATAACATAGACGAAGTCGATGAACTGAAAATAGGATGCTCGTTAAAAGACAAAATTACCTACCATGTGAAGTAAATGAACAATGAAAGAGGGTATATAATGTACAGTTCGAGAGAAGTTGATTACTAACCTATGGAGTCAAAATGTACATTTATCAACAATATCAACATTTGTTATTGTAAATCCTTCTTCGACTCCGTCAACCATAGATGCTTGAAAAAGTACAGCATCAGAATCATCAAGCTTGCCGGAAAAGCACAGAGACAAATACACATCCATAGTAGTAACTTCATCAAATTTTATCAGCTCCACCACATGGTATTTGCTGGACTAAATAACAAAAAAAAAACAGAGACAACAATTAATCACTAAATTTCGACCCAAAAAAAAAATTAAAGAAAGAAAGAAAGAGAGAAGTATATACGTTTTGCTTGTTATAGAAATCAATTGCTAGGTCGGCCATGGATTGGAAATATTCAAGGCCACCTGGTTTACATCTTTCAGGGAAATCTCGATCATAATAGCGTATGCCACATCCCTAAATAATTAATTAATTATAGATAGGGCAGATGAATTATTTGTTAGAAAAAAAGATGAGATTAAAAGAAATTTAAAAAAAAAGGGGGAGGATTGGGGAACGCACACATTCATCTTCGTCTGAGTCACATTCTTTCCCCACAAATAATTCTTTCCCCACAAATAATTCCTCATCAGGTAATTGCGAACCCATCTCTCTCTCTCTCTCTCTCTCTCTCTCTCTCTCTCTCTCTCTCTCTCTCTCTCTCTCTCTCTCTCTCTCTCTCTCCCACACAAAGTCGATCGTAGAGAAAACCGAAACCCTATTGGTTTCCTCTTTTCATATTTGTTTCCCTTTTATAGCCTCACCTGTAGGGTCGGTTCGTCGATTCTTCTCGTGATCTATAAGGTTATTACACTTTTTTCCCGATACTATTTCACTATATTAATTTTAGTCCCCATATTTGTTTTAGATCACTTTTGGTCCCTCAATAAAGTCATTGTATTGGGGGTTAATCTCAAAAAATCCATTGACAAGGACACTTAATTAAAAAATGGACATCCAATTTTTCTGTATTTCAAATATTTCCAGCTCAAGACAGTAATATTATCAATATTATATTTTCGAAAAGTAATATTACTAATATTATTGTCCCAAAGAGTAATATTACAGTCTGAGACAGTAATCTAGCAGCCAAGACAGTAATATTAATTCAAATATTTTTTTTAAGAAAAAAAGTCAATTAACAGTTAAATTATTGTCTCTGACGGTTAAATAACTGCTGGAGACAGTAATTTAGCAACGAAGACAGTAATATTAATTAAAATATTTTTTTTAAGAAAAAAAAAGTTCAATTAACACTTAAATTACTGTCTCCGACAATTAAATAACAGTTTGAGACAGTAATTTAGCAGCCAAGACAATAATATTAAGGGCGAATGGCAAAAAGGCCCATCACATGGGACTTAAATGTATTTTGGTCCACAAAAAAAACAGTCTCTCAATTAAACCCCTCCCCATGTCTTTAGTCTAAAATACCCTCAATAATATAATTCTTATCAATTACACCCGTTATGCACTAACTTTCTTAATATTACACATTAACCCCGTATTTAAACAAATATATCACATTAACCCCCAAAACTTTTTTTTCTGGCCAGATTCGGGCGTTGACTTTTTTTTTCGAAAACTTTTTTTTTCCTGAAATTTTTTTCCGGCCGGTCAACCATCGTTGACCGCCGGTCTCCGGCGTTGACTTTTTTTTTTTTTGAATTTTTTTTCTTAGAAAAAAAATTTATTAATATTACTGTTTTGGCTACTAAATTACTGTCTCATACAATAATATTACTGTTTGGGACAATAATATTATGAATATTATTTTTCCGAACAGTAATATTATTAATATTATTGTCTAAGACAGTTAATTACTGTTGCAGACAGTAATTTAGCATCCAAGGCAGTAATATTAATTAAAATATTTTTTTTAAGAAAAAAATGAAAAAAAAAGAAGTAAATTAACAGTTAAATTACTGTCTCCGACAGTTAAATAACTGCTGGAGACAGTAATTTAGCAAACGAATACAGTAATATTAATTAAAAATATTTTTTTTAAGAATAAAAAAGTCAATTCAGTTAAATCACTGTATCCAACAGTTATATAACTGCTGGAGACAGTAATTTAGCAAACGAATACAGTAATATTAATTAAAAATATTTTTTTTTAAGAATAAAAAAGTCAATTAACAGTTAAATCATTGTCTCCAACAGTTAAATAACTGCTGGAGACTGTAATTTAGCAACGAATACAGTAATATTAATTAAAATATTTTTGAAGAAAAAAAATTTCAATTAACAGTTAAATTACTATCTCCGACAGTTAAATAACTGCCGGAGACAGTAATTTAGCAGCCAAGACAGTAATATTAATTAAAAATTTTTTTAAGAAAAAACAAAATTATAAAAAAAAAAAAAAAAAAAAAAAAAAGTCAACGCCGGAGATTGGCGCTCTCCGGCTGTCAACGCCGGAATCTGGCCGGAAAAAATATTTCAGAAAAAAAAATTATTTTCTGAAAAAAAAAACGTTTTGGGGGTTAATGTGATATATTTGTTTAAATCCGGGGTCAATGTGTAATATTAAAAAAGTTAGAGCATAATGGGAGGAATTGATAAGAATTAGGGTTAAAATTGGGGTCAAAATTGAAATTAGAGTTAAAATTGGTTAATTGATGAAATTGGGCTAAATTGGGGTGTAAATCATGAAATTGGAGTTGAATTGGGTTTCAATGAATTGGGGGTAATTTTGGTATATATATAGAAGGATTTTCCTTATTTGCAAATAAGTTTGAATGGGTTGGATTTATTTGAAAGACAAAAAAGTTGGATGTCCCTCTTTTAATTAAGTGCCCTTGTCATGGGCCTATTTGCCATTACCCCTAATATTAATTGAAAAAAAAATAAGAAAAAAAAGTCAATTAACAGTTAAATTACTGTCTCCGACAGTTAAATAACTGCTGGAGACAGTAATTTAGCAGCTAAGACTGTAATATTGACTTAAATATTTTTTTTAAGAAAAAAAAAAAAAAAAGTCAACGCCGGAGACCCGACGGTCAACGGTGGTCGACCTACCGGAAAAACAATTCATAAAAAAAAAGTTAAAAAAAAAAAAGGTCAACGCCGGTCTCCGGCGATCAACGGCGGCTAACCGGCGGTCTCCGGTGCTGTCGGGTCAAAATTGAAATTAGAGTTAAAATTGGTTAATTGGGCTAAATTGGAGTGTAAATCATGAAATTAGAGTTAAATTTGGTTTTAATGAATTGAAAGTAATTTTGTTATATATAAACGGATTTTCTTTATTTGCAAATAAGTTTGAATGAGCTGGATTTATTTGGAAGACAAAAAAGTTGGATGTCCTTCTTTTAATTAAGTGCCCTTGTCATGGGGCCTTTTTAGATTAACCCTTTTATATATACCAAAATTACTCTCAATTCCTTAAAACCCAATTCAACTCCAATTTTATGATTTACACCCCAATTTAGCCCAATTTTACCAATTAACCAATTTTGACCCTAATTTATTTTGACCCGCCACCTCCGGAGACGCAGGTCAGCCGCTCTTGACTGCCGATCTCCGGTGTTGCCTTTTTTTTTTCTTAAAAAAAATATTTTGATTAATATTACTGTCGTGGCTACTAAATTACTGTCTCCAACAGTTATTTAACTTTCGGAGACAGTGATTTAAATGTTATTTGATTTTATTTTTCTTAAAAAATATTTTAATTAATATTATTGTCTTGGCTACTAAATTAATGTCTTTAACAGTTATTTAACTGTCGGAGACAGTCTTAAGAAAAATATTTTAATTAATATTACTATCTTGACTGCTAAATTACAGTCTCTAGCAATTATTTAACTGTTAATTGACTTTTTTTTTTAAATTTTGTTTTTTCTTTAATAAATTATTGCAATTAATATTACTGTCTTGACTGCTAAATTACTGTCTCCAACAGTAACTTAACTGTCTCAGACAGTAATATTACTGTATTAATTAATTTTATCGTCTTGGTCTGCATTTTCGTTGTCTTCGACTGTAATATTACTGTATATGACCGTAATATTACTGTTCGGAAAAATAATATTCATAATATTACTGTCCCAAACAATAATATTACTGTCTGAGACAGTAATTTAGCAGGCAAGACAGTAATATAAATTAAAATATGTTTTCTAAGAAAAAACAAAATTTGTAAAAAAAAGAGTCAATTAACAGTTAAATTAATGTCTCCGACAGTTAAGTAATTGTTGGAGACAGTAATTTAGCAGCCAAGAAAGTAATATTAATTAAAATATTTTTTTTAAGAAAAAAAAAGTTAATTAACAGTTAAATTACTATCTCCGACAGTTAAATAACTGCTACAGACAGTAATTTAGCAGCCAAGACAGTAATATTAATTAAAACCGTCCGGTCAACGCCGGAATCTGGCCGAATTTTTTTTCTTCAGAAAAACAATTATTTTCTATTAAAAATTCAAAAATTATTAAATTGGGGTTAATGTGATATATTTGTTTAAATTCAGGGTCAATGTGTATTATTAAGGAAGTTAGAGTTAATGGATGGAATTGACAAAAAATATATTATGGAGGGTATTTTGACTAAAGACATAGGGATGGTTATATTTGAAAGATTGTTTTTTTTTTGGACCAATGTACATTTAAGTCCCTTGTCATGTCCCTTTTTGCCATTTGCCCTTTTATTAGATCCCATATCTAATTATATTATCCTTTTATATGTAATTTTCGTCCAACTACATCCAACATTTACTCTTCTTCATTTAGCATTTTTTTGTCCTGCATTTAGCTTTTTCGAGTTTTTTTTTTTACTTTTTTTTTTATTATTTTTGTAGTTTTGTTTATGAAAATTTATATATATATATATATATTTGATGTGCAGGCGAGAGCAATAGAGAAGGGGGTGTCGATGCGCTTACAATAAATAGTAAATAGTGGTTTTCGAATTCTCACGGGACAGTAAGTAGTGGAGATGGGGGTTGACAACGTAACGTGTACAACAAATAGTGGATTTCAAATTCAGACAGTGAATAGTGGATTTCAAATTCAGACAGTGAATAGTGGAATACGTTAATTTTACAGTGAATTACGATAATCTTTCAGTGGATTTTACGGTAATTTTTTTAGATAGTGAATGTTCATAGATAGTGAATGTTCATAAATTTACGATAATCTTTAGAGTGCTTTTGATATTATTCTTCTGCCTTGGTCGATTAAGCACAGAGTGGTTTTGAAAAAAAGATCGTCTGATTTCGGTGAGGATCGACGTACTCGAATAAAAAAAAGAGTGGTTGTATATCAGTTATTCATATGTTTCATGCTAATATATATATATATATATATATATATATATATATATATATATATATATATATATATATATATATATATATCTCTATACCAAAATGAGTATTTTCTCACTGTACAATTTTTTAATTTCTAACGGTTATCACCCGTTAGAAATTTCTAACAGTGAGTATCCGTTAGAAACATAACTTATATGTCACTATTAATAATAAATATATTTTTATTAGATAAAAAATATTTCTAACAGTTCAAGTTTGTTAGTAATAAACACGTTAGATACACCTTATATATGTTATTCACTTTTAAAATAATTAATAAATCATTATTCTTATTAAAAGAAAGAAAATCATATATATTATCACATTTAAATTAAATTAATTAATGAATAATTATTCTCATTTTTATTAAAAGAAAGGAAATCA